AATACCCTCTCTGTGTTACTGTACTACTTTTCATTAGTTTAAAATGAAGATTAGATACTCTTAAATATGATGATGTGAGATCTCTCTCCTATTCTTAAGAAGTTAGGTTAAATTTTCAGTCTAGCTAAGTAGACAATATTTTAAATGTCAACCACAGGGGCAATACAGATAACACAGATGTGAGATGTGCACAATGTATAGCCCATTTAAATTTTTGCTGAAGCTTCAGAACAAAATTTAGAGTTCTCCCCATTTTCATTGTCTTTTAACTAATTGGTTGGGAAGGATTTTGGCACATTTTAGTCGCCAAATGCTAAAACCGGTCATATTAGAAAAGGCAACGAAGACCAGAATTGGTGTCCTAATAAAATCTTTCTCTGACACCAGTCCCTCTTTGAGAGAGATGGGCAATTCAGAAATGCAAAAAATAACTAACTCTTATCATTTTATCTAGTCTTATCATAAGACTCCTGCACAGATGACTCGTTAAAATACCTTTTGTAGGTAGTCGTTGCCTTACAACCATTCATTTAGGGATCATTCAAAGTTACAATGGCACTGAAAAATATGACTTACAACCGGTCTTCACACTTATGACCATTGCAGCATCCCCACAGTCATGTGATCAAAATTTGAATGCTTAGCAAACAAGCATATATTTATGATGTTTGCAGTTCCTGGGGTCAATCCCAGGATCACCATTTGCAATCTTGCCAGCTAGGTTCCAACAAATCAATTCAATGGCAAAAGCCAGATTCTTTTAATGATTCACCAGATCTGACCATATGATTCACTTAGCAACTGCACTGATTCTGATTTATTTAACCTGTTAACAAACCTTTGAGCTGAGTTGCGCATGCCTTTCTCTCTATAGTTCTGACTCAAAAACATAAATACCTTCCATGTAGCAAAAAGCTAGAAAAAAATTACAGAAATCTTGCATTCTTGCCAATACCAACATCTACCACTGGTCAAATTTTCTGAGTTAACAAACATATCCGGTACAGAATGCAAGTAGAGTTTATAAGCAATGTTTATAAACTCCATATTTCTTTCTTGTACTTGCCCTGCTTCAAAGGATGACTATGAAATTCAGTGGTACAGTCTATCACAATGATGGCGAACCTTTTAGAGACCGAGTGCCCAAACTGCAACCCAAAACCCACTTATGCATCGTCGAGTGCCGCGTGGGTGTGGCCCATTGGCTGGGTGTGGCCCATTGGCTGGGTGTGGCCCATTGGCTGGGTGTGGCCAAATAGGGGGTGTGGCCCATTGGCTGGGTGTGGCTGCGGTGGTAACGGCAGACTGGGTGGGACTAAAAAGTTCAATCAATCAATTCCAACTTTGCAAGATCTTTTTTTTTCTGCGAGAAGTTGAAATTGATTGATTGAACCTTTTTTTTTTTTTTTGCACACGGCGGCAGAGGCCTAAAGCGAAAAGGTTTTATAAAACCCAGCTGAAGGCCTAGGACTGGGGCGACGGCGCACATGCCCACAGAGAGGGGCCTGAGCGCCGCCTCTGGCACCTGTGCCATAGGTTCGCCACCACTGGTCTATCATATAGATAAGTTGATAAGAAAAACGTCTGCTAGTACAGGAACATTGGGACAAGTCAGCATCTCGGATACTGACTGATATGGTACTTTCCCATGCATAATTCTAGGGTATCATTCCTATCATTTAAAGGGAAGATCTTGAATATTTTTTCAGACTTTCTGGGAGAGATCTCAGGTTTCTCTGTGTAAAGCTACAGAACCTGCAATAAAAGTGACAGTATAATCACTTATGTACTTGCTGGGTTGATTTGTTTTGAGAAGCAAACTAACTCATTGTGAAACACCAGCGTTAGATCTTTTTTATTAGCAGGAAGGTGAGGGAAACAGGAAACTATATTTTCCCAACAAAAACATTAACAGCTACTAGAATTGATGGAGAGGCATTGTCACAGCCAACTGAATCTCCAGGGCAAAAAAAGTAGACTACAAAAGAGGTATGGAAGATGCTGTAGAAGAAGAAAAAAGACGGGAAGCGAAATTCAGCTAGTTCTGATTCCCAAGGGTGCAACTGCTTGCAGCAAGTGAAAAGGAAGTGAGTGGAAACAAAACCTATACTTGCATGTAATGGCCAGACTCAGCTAGAAATTATTCTGACGGGGTGTCTGCACAGATGCTATACCCTTGTGCATGATTCACAGAGATTGTGATGAAAAATCATTGTTATGGGGAAAAAAATAGTCACAACTTTGGAAAGTTCTGCAGACTTGTTAGATAAGAGAGGGCATTCCAGAAGTACAGTATGCCAGCAAAAAAGTATCCAAGGTACCACAAACCTTCATGTAATGAATGTATGGATTGATTCTTAAAACACTTATAATCCAAAGGAGAGCTAAATTGGTAGGACGCAGGCAGTCAACTCATGAACCAAAATAGAGAATCAATCAGGAAGACAGCAATTTAGGTGCCTGCAATATAATACAACGGATTCATGAAATACTTAATCAAGAGAAAGAAAGGCTTTCTGGAAAGCCGGGAAACAACAACTGAAGAACACAGTAAAGAAGGCTTGAATATAGCATTATTTTACTTGGGTGTTCCTTACGATGAGTCACTCATTCAGCTGCTAAGAGACTATATTACCTTTCTACAAACTCACTTGCATAGAAATAGCCACTTTATATGACTGAGAGATTCTTAGGTTTAGGGATAGAAATGTTTAGAGCGATTGCATTTGCATAATTTATTTTTTCTTATTCTGCTACTGCATTTACATAATCTATTTTTGATTGTTCTGCTATTGCATTTACATGATTTATTTTTGGTTATCCCTGTTGCAACAAAAAACCCAAAAGATATAGTTTCCAAGAATATTATTCCATTCAGAGCCCTAAATGAATGTTATACAATGGCAGTTTAGAAATGGTTTAATTATATGAAAAAAAGAAACAAAAAATATCCAGGAGGCTCTGTAGTGAAAACTTATGAATAAATCAGGCAAATTTTGACTTCAGAAATATTTTTCAGTCAACCTATTTATTTTTAAGTCGTACTTTCTACATCTTTTACAATGATAATCTTGATGACAACATGGATTGTGTGGGCATTTAATTTTATGCAGAGCCAATAAATTAAAATAGATAACCAGTGGATCCAAGATTACAGATAGCCATGTACTACCAGGTGCTTGATCTCAGAGCTCCCAGCGTGCCTTTAGGCCAATCACTATCTCTCAACCTAACTCATGCCATAGAGCTATTGTTGGGATAAAATTAGTATAGGAACCCAAATTACCTCGTAGTTTCAGAGAGAGAAAGAGGGATATAAAGGCTATCAGTCAATCAATCTGCTGGAAAATAGACAAAACTGGCAAACTGTAGAACAAAAACAGAAGTCTGAGCAGTGGTGGCCAAGAAAATATGAGCCCAGAGTAAAAAGCTGCTTTGTCCGAGTTTGTACAATCACAGAATATGATAAGTATGATTTTGAATCCTGCTCCTGGCTATGTCGCTTCAAATTATATTTGGGTTTACACCCGCAAAGGAATAATTCTCTAGAACAGGGGTGTCAAACTGCCAGCCCGCGGGCCTGTTTCATCATACTGGAGCCGCGCCCACCCCATTGCCGGCAATCGCGAAAAAGCTCCAATATGTTGCGCGACGTCATGTGACATCGCGAGGTTGACATGTCTGCTCTAGAATGTAATGGACTCTTTTCCCTTGTTGATCACAAATAAAGATACTGATATTCTAAAAGTTAGGAAATCAGAAGAACTATCTGAGCCCTATCAATTCATTTGCTATGAAGGAGTTCTTTACTTACATAGAAGTTTTCTAAAATCTTCTATAGACAATCCTTGGTGAACAATTGTTATTGGGCCTGGAATTTCCATCACTAAGCAATAGGGTCATAAAGTGCAATGTCACGTGACTATATTGCTTAGCGACAGCAAATCCCAGACATCCTCATTGAGCTGTTAAGCAATTACTGCACGTCATTAAGTGAGGAGCTTCTAACCCTGCCAGCTTCCAATAAAGTCAGTCGGGAAGCTGGCAGGAAGTTGCAAGTCCATGTTGTAAGCAAGCTGATGAGTGGGTAAAATGGCTGCTTCAATGTGCCATGAGTACAACTGGGGCAGAGGTGGGTGCTGCTGGGGGTGGGAGGATGCGCAAGCAGCTGCTATGGGTCCATACAAGCACAGCTGGGCTGCAGTGGCTCCTTTTTCAAATTATCTCTTAAATGAATTGGGCTTTCTTCCCCACCCAAAAAAATTGTGCAAGTGTAACAGGAAAAAAAAAAGCAACATTTCCAGCAGTGGAGAAAATAATTACAATCCCACTTATTAAGGAAGAACAATCAGTTTTTGCACAAGGGACTCTTTGGAAGTAGTCTAAGATGGGGGTCTGCAACCATGACAACTTTAAGACTTGTGGACTTCAGCTCCCAGAATTCCTCAGCCAGCTATGTTGGCTAAGGAATTCTGGGAGCTGAAGTCTACAAGTCTTAACGTCTTAAAGTTGTCAAGGTTGCAGACCCCTGATCTAAGAAAAGAAACTGAATATTTGTAGCATACCCATTTTGTATGGAATAATATTTGGAGTATTATTACATTTGCATATAACATAGCTGGCTGAGGAATTCTGGGAGCTGAAGTCCACGTCTTAAAGTTGTCAAGGTTGCAGACCCCTGATCTAAGAAAAGAAACTGAATATTTGTAGCATACCCGTTTTGTATGGAATAATATTTGGAGTATTATTACATTTGCATATGACATGCTATATTTACGTCTTAGTTATCCAACAATCCTAACCAATTATCCTGCAAGTAGCATACCTAATCAGCTCTCTGAAGTTGTGTACCCACACTTTTTGTGTCATGCAAAATAAAAAAAGACTCTGGAACAAGCCAGGTCAGCTTGGATTACATGATATAGGAAGCTTGGATTACATGATATAAGAAGCTTGACTAAGTAAGTCATAGGCAGTTCACTTGTCATTTTCACTCATGACCACACTCAGAAGGTAGAACAAAGAACATATAATAATGGAGTTGGAAGGGACCTTGGAGGTCTTCTAGTGTCCAACTCTTTGGTCAAGACCCTCTACCATTCCAGATAAATGGCTGTCAGGTCTCTTGTTGAAAACTTCCAGTGATGGAGCACCCACAACTTCTAGTGGCAAGCCATTCCACTGATTAATTGTTCTCACTGGCAAGAGCAGGAAATTCCTCTTTAGTTCTAGGTTGGATACTCTTCTACTCGTTACTTCTTGTCCTACCCTCATGTGCTTTGGAGAATAGGTCAAACCCCTCTTCTCTGTGACAGCCACTCAAATACTAGAAGACTGCTATCATATCACCTCTAGTCTTTCATTTTGTAACATTAGACATACCTAGTTCCTCAGTTGTTCGTCATATGGTTTAAAAATTAGGAAAAATAAAACAAGAATAAAGAATCTTACCCTTTACAAGCTGAAGGGTTGAGAAATACTGTTGCTTTCTTTATCTGCATATTGGAAGGAATAATTTGGTTGCCCCATACCTAATAATAAAGAGAAAGTGATGGTTTACTGTTTCAGAATAATTAGTATTTTTCATTTGGATATTGAACAATAATACTCTATTTTGGTAATTACTGCATACCTTCCCGCTGAAAGGAATGAACTTAAGGAAACTTGCAACAAGCAACTTCTAAAAGTGCCTCGGATATTCTGAATTCTAAACCCCTAGCTAAGTAACACAGATGTTTTTATTTTCAATACTCAAAACCAGGTCCAATTTTACAAATATCAGGGGACAAAGACGAAGCAATGAAGTCTGAAAGTTAATCAGCTGTTTAAATCATGATTAAAGTCATTAATCACATCATACCCGTGTCAGAAGCTCCAAGGCGCTTCTAGGTTGAAAGGATTAGCTGGTGACATCACTGTTGCCCAGGGGAGGCCCAGTTGGAGGCTCCTTTCATATCCCCAGCAGATGCTGGAGTGAAGGACGAAAGCTCACCTCGCCCCAAGGCAGCACTTGGGTCTTGGAACGTGGGCTTACTAACCTCCAAGCCAGCATCCTAACCATGCGAGCCACTATGCTCCTAGTCATTCATAAAAGTATTAATTAGCCACGGATTGGGGATTTTGTTCACCCATGGATCAACCCAGCTGTAACTGCTTTTAATCTTTAAGGTGTTTGTTCAAGATATCACATTCAACTTTAGTTTAGACCTCTCAGAGAGTGAGATGGGGGGTACTTAAATTTGATAAATATGAGGGCAATTCAGAAATAAAACTCCATTTGGTTATCAATGACAGACACTCGCAGATATAGAACTTTTATTATACACATTAGAAAACTACAATATTACATTACTTTCAAGTTTCAACATAATCGCCATTCAAATTGAGGCACTTGTCATAACGTCTTAAAGGTTTGAAATTCCTTAGCAGTAGTCGCTCGATGCCAAATCTGGGCTATGGGGGTGTGTGTGATCAAAAACATCCCAACGGAACTGCTGAAGGTGTGTGTGTGTTACTTTGTTCTGGGGTTTGTCAGAAACGTGGGAGCATTTGGGGAAAATTGGAGCAAATAAAGGGCAGTTTGAACTGCCAGTTAACTGTTTTGCCTCTGTGCTATGCCCTGGGTCATCACACTCACTCTCCCTTGCTGAAGGCCTTCTTGATCGCTCTTTTAAACAACAGCAAAGTAGGGGCCATCTGGATTTGGGGGGAGGGAACCTTCTGCTACAGGGCAGGCCTACTACAGAGAAATCTACATCTAGAAATGTAATAAGCTCATAGTGGCTACCTCTCTTTCTCCATTACCCCAAATTCAACTAGTGTCACCAATATTCATCACCACCAACTATAAGGGAAACTGAGAAAAGGGCAAAGTGCAACTTTGTGCAACAGCTATTTTTATATTAACAAAGGTGGAGATTTTTTAATATAAAGGTTACTATCCACTGTACTGAGTACCCATAGCCTGAAAAAATATCAGTTTTCCCAAATGCCTATGAAGACATACCCTTCTCAATTATCACAAATACCTGGAAGCTCTTCACCACTGATTTATGCTTTGCAGAATTTGAGGTATAATTAGATGCAAAGCCTAAGCTCTGCGAGAAGAAAGCAGTGGTTGTAGTATTTGAGCAACTGAATACTGACATCCCTGTTGATAGGCTACTCACGTAGAACGGACCCACTGGGACAATCTCCAGAATCCTGCACAAGTGAGATAAGGAGGGGATTTTAATCTAATTTGATCTTATTAAATGGTATTACCTGGGCTTCTTGGCATGCAGCTCTCCTTAGCAGGTTATCACTGTGACAGGGGAAGAGGAGAAAAAACAAAAAATGGATATTAAATAAGCTAAATTTAGAGGAGATATAAGTATGCATTTTAAAAAGGATTTCTGCTTTGGCAGACATAAATCTTAAATCAAAACTTTTCAAAGGGACTATGGATTAGGAATGCATACCATTCCCACAGTCCTAATTTTGATGATATGGTATTTGTTATTAATTTCTCTAGGTACCAATTTATTAAAAGCATATGTGACCCCTGCACTAGACTACATGATGGATTAACGTTTTATCCACAGCAGCGATCAAAGTAACAAAATTCTCCATTACTGTATGTAAATATTATGGACTTTTTTTTAAAAAAAAAAAACTTCTCCATAAACTGCATAGCTGGCCAGAAAATTTGGCCAATTTTTCCTGACACAATAGCTGATGATGGATAGCATCAGAACCACTGTTCCTCATTTTTTTGCTATTCCCTCCCCTTCCTTCAACCTGTACATATATACACAAAACAACACACTAGGCACTCTGAGTTTGAATTTCTGAATTTAGGCATATGCTAACTCTCTCTACTTCTAACATTTGCCAAGGAGATTAGCATACATTTGCTTTCATTAAGAAGTTTCATGACTAAAATGGTGTGCAGGGAGGGCATACTCTGGGGGGGGACGGGGGACAGTGAACCAAATTTAAAGATTTAGTGTGTTGCATGCTTGGACAGCAAGTTTCACGCTTCAGCTAAAGCATCCTGGTTTTGTAGAGGTTGATAGAATGGAATTTACTTTCTCTGTTTATCCTGAAGGCATGTTTTCTCTACTTCCCCATTTGCTGGAAGCAACAGTGATAATTAGATGGTAAATTTAATAAACAAACAAATGGAAATTCAGTTATAATTTTATTGTGCTGAACCAATTATTTTTCTATCTTCATGGTTTTGGATGGAAAATAATTGGTTCAGCATAATAAAATTAAGAGATAAAAAATAGAAACACAGTAACATTATAACACAATATGTTAATGACATAATACAATTTCAAAATTAATCATAAAAGGGGATAAAGGAAAAATGTTTGACAAGATTGCTCAAAAGTGTTAACATCCCTTTATCAATCAATCAATCAATCAATCAATCAAACAATCCTGCAACACCAATTTAATATTGACATACAACACTACCAATAGCCTTGATTGCTATAAATCACCTCTATAATTTTAGCCCAGGGGGTCCTCAACCTTGGCAACTTTAAGACTTGTGGACTTTGCTGGCTGAGGAATTCTGGGAGTTGAAGTCCACAAGTCTTAAAGTTGCCAAGGTTGAGGACCCCTGTTTTAGCCAATACCTTCTAAATAGCAATAGCACTTAGACTTACATATTGCTTCACAATGCTTTACAGCCCTCTCAAAGCGGTTTACAGAGTGAGCATATTGCCCCCCCCCAAACAATCTGGGTCCTCATTTGATTTCAGCAACCCTGACCACAAAATGCTATAGGGATTCCTTAAAATGTTATGTAGCTGAAGCGAGATGACAACGTCAAACTTTTACATCTGTTAGGACATTCCTATTTTAATACCCCTTGCTTGAAAAACTCTGAATCTGAAGAAGATACCACTTTCAACCCCAAGAGTGAAAGCCAGTGGGTAAAAGTCCAAGTGGTTCCTAACTATGTTTTGCAACAATTGAAGTCAAGGACACATAGATCAAAAGGATTTGCTCCCTTTAAGAAAGCAGTCCTCAACCTTTGCAGCTTGGTGGCCTGGCTGAGGGGGGGAGAAGAGGGGAATTAGGCCGTACAAGTGGTGGGCTGGCCAGCACCCGCATGCAGCTCGACTTGCACAAGTTGAGCTACGTGCCCGTGTGCACACGTGCTTGCCTGCCACTTGCACAAGTCGATTTGCATGCATATGTGCGCTGGCCCACCACTCATGTGGCCCAGTTCCAAATAGGGCATGGTCTGGTAGTGGGCTGTGGCCTGGGGATTGGGGACCTCTGTTTTAAGAGATTTAAAGAGCAGTCCATAAGTACTAAAGGCCATATATTAAGGATTACGCTTCGATCCAAGCAACTATGACGATGCCTTATATTGTTTGTAACTTACTTTGCATCTTCTCTCCCTAGCCTATTCTTTGGCACCACTCAAAATTAGTTCAATCGAACAACTTTTTATTCAAACCAAATCACTTCCTGCCATAGTAACCTCTCCAGAGGTAAGATCATTGATTTACAATAAAAAACCAATCAGGAGAAATTCAAAGTAAGCAACAAGATAAGACACTCAATGGGAAACCTTTAGTGAAAATAATGGGGCAAACAGAAACAAGCTTCCTAAGCAAGAGAATGTATAAATAATAAATTACCCCAATTATTCCTAATTGGAATATTTATCAAAGGATTCCTTAGAGCAGTGGTTCTCAACCTGTGGGTCGGGACCCCATTTGGGGTCGATCAACCATTTCACGGGGGTCGCCAAGCAAGGCTGTCCGCCATTTTTTTGTCCGCCATTTTTTTGTCCGCCATTTTTTCCCCTTTTCCGGCGGGTGCCTTACCTCCCTTGGGCTGGGCCAGCTGGTGGTCGGCCTGCTCCGTCTCTGCCGCTTGCCAGCTATGCCTCGGCTGGCGCAGGGGGCGGAACCACGCATGCGCGGTGCTCCCGGGCAGGGAAAGTCCTCGACTTACGACCGGTTGGGTAGTCCTCGACTTACGACCGGTTTAGTCCTCGACTTACGACCGGTTTAGTCCTCGACTTACGACCGGTTGGGGTCGCGGCATTAAAAAGGTTGAGAACCACTGCCTTAGAGGTTTTAGAACTCCTCTTAATGTTCAGAGGAATACATCGAGCATGTTAAGAAATAGGGACACTTTATACCAATAGTAGACTTTTGATTAATTGAAGTCATTTTATTGGGTACTAGTTAAAAACCAGCTCTAGAACTGAAGTGGATTGGAAGGGTAAAAAGGTTAACATACAGAAGGGAGGTGAACCACTGCAGTAGACCAAAGAAAGAAAGCTCGGCTACTAAAAACAGAAACCTTACTTTTTCCAAACTACTGTGATGCAGTGGTTCCGTCCCTGATATGGAGGGGAGGAGAAGGCCTGTCTTTGGAATTTGAGCTTATTTTCCTCCAGCCTAGCACACAAGTTCCCTTCCATGCACCATCCAACGTTTTCTTTGGCAGGCAGCTCTTTTGCTCTGTCCACTTAACAACCCATATGGTCGCTTAAGCTAAACTGAGGGAGCCACGATTGTGGTCACTGAGCAAAGTGGCCACGTGAGCCTGTTGCTTAATGACAGCAATGACTTATGACCAGAATTCCGGGCCCAATTGTGGTTGTAAATTCCCTACCAGGAAGAAGGTAAGCAAAATATAACCATAGGAAAGAGGAGGGGGGTTAGAATGGAGGAAAACCCTTCCCAATTGTTACTCTGATAGAAAAGCACTCAGGGAATATTTTTTCTTAACATGAATTTTAACATTAAGAGCTGTGGTGGCGCAGTGGTTAGAATGCAGTATTGCAGGCTAATTCTGCCAGCTGTCAGTTCGATTCTCACCAGCTCAAGGTTGATTCAGTCTTCCATCCTTCCGACATCGGTAAAATGAGGACCCAGATTATTGGGGGCAATATGCTGACACTATAAATTGCTTAGAGAGGACTGTAAGGCACTGTGAAGAGTTATATAAGTCTAAGAGCTATTGCTATTTTTCCCTAGTTTACAAACTAATCTGGTCCATTTCCTAATCTTTCTTTTGCCATCATCTACTCCTACCAAATATTACTCCCACTCTATTCAGTTTATGGAGGTATCATACTGATGGGCAGAGCTCTGCCCCCCTTTACATAACTTCTTGCCAACATTTTCCAATAATGTAGTGAAAACAGGCAGAGCATGGTGTCTGGAATACTTCCTAATTCCATTACAAGCAGTGGCTATAGGAAACTTCTGTGTTTTCTTCTATGCAATGAAGTAAATTGTTTTGAGTGTCTGTGTACAGATGTGCATGCACACTTGCATGTTTTTATTTTCCTCTTCAGTTACATCTATAGATATCTGTATGCACTGAGAAGCACAGGGCATTTATGCTCTACTCTGATTCAAGTAACTAGCATGGAGGCAGGGGCTTAGACGGAGCAGTTGCCAACACTACATGCTATTGCTCAACTGTGTTTCCCTTATGGAAGATAAGGGGGGGTGTCTCTTCAGCCTCTGGCTGGATCTGATCCATTATTTAAATGTGATCATTGTGGCTAGCTTCTCCCCTGTAATGCAATGTGGGAATGATCTTGGGGAAAGAGATGCTGCCTAGGAAATAATCGCGACAGGAGACAGAGGAGCCCCCAGTGGCTTAATGGTCAGAGAAAGAAACTTAGAAAGGACTCTCCCTCCTAGATGAAGCAGTTAAAAGTGGCAGCAGGAGGTTTTGTATTTTTAGACTTGCAAGATTCTGTTAATGTAGCCTTACATTAGGTCAGGGGTAGGCAACCTTGGCTCTTTTATGACTCGTGGACTTCAACTCCCAGAATTCCTGAGCCAATATGGCTGGCTCAGGAATTCTGGGAGTTGCAGTCCACGAGTCATAAAAGAGCCAAGATTGCTTACCCCTGCATTAGGTGATCTAGATTTAGATCATCTAGCGTTTATTGTTTGGTTTTACTTGGGAGGATTGACATCTCCCCAGCACCAAATTTGGTACCATTTTGTTGTGTTTGGAGAGAGCTATTGCTCTTTCTAAAGAGTCCCTTCCAACTTTATTTATTTATTATTATTATTTATTAAAATTACAATTACAACAATAAAAATACAAACTAAAATGAAAAAATAGAAAATGTTGAAAATATATATACCGTAAAGAAATAAAAATGATTTTTCCCTTCATCACAACAAGTATAAACAATTTTAGTATACCTTCTCTTAAAAAACAGCAAATATCTCTTCTTCTCATATCCCATTTCTTATCCTCAGATAAATCCTTAAAGCCTTGCAATTTTAGTCCTGATGTCAGCAAAAGTCCATTAATGGTTACCAGAGATGACAATATGTCTATTTTAACCTACTACATAACCAAGATGTCATTTAGGGTTGCTTTTTGATGGGCGAAGGGCAGTATACCTCATTTCATTTGCAAATTGGATTTCCCAGTTCTATTTGACTTGGCTCTTGTGGCTTTGGGAAAGCTACTCGTGACAGCTGCTCATAAGATCCAGTATAGAAAAACAGTACAGATTAACACTAGCAGCAACTTCTCTTCTTAATTCCCTCCCTTATTAAAAAAAACAAAACAAAGCAGTGAGCTATAGCTATCTACCAGACCCAATGAGGCTTTCTTATAAATAAAGACAATGATGCTTAAAGGCCTCTTTGCAGCATGCCTGCCTCCTATTAAAAATATTTAAACTATTTTAAAATGAGATAGAGAGACTGGTGTTCCTTGAGCACCGTACTGCCTATTCCTGTATTATTGCATCAGGAACAATTCAAGCATTCAAGCTAAGTCCTGAGAGGGCAGATTGAGGGAACAGGGCTTGTTTAGCCTGGGGATATTACAGTATGCTTCAAATACCTGAAGTGATATCATACAGATGAAGCTTATGATGTGTTCGCTATCATCCCAGAGCACAAGACATGGAATTTAATGGTTTAAAATCTTTGGAAGATGTAATGGAATGTGTGGATGACCTTGGGGAACACAAAGGAAGAGATGCTGCCCAAGAAATAACCAGAGGGGAGGGAGGAGATCCCAAGGGATTAGTCAGAGAAAGAAACTTTTAAAAGGACTATCCTAAATGATCAAGCAGTTAAAAGCCACAGACGGAAATTTGTACCTCCAGATTTGCAAGACTGATGTCAAATATCCCAGTTAAAACAGACAGAAAATTATCTAGATAAGCTAATTCTACCTTATAGTAAGGCTACATTGACAGAATCTTGCAAGTCCAAAGACACAAACCTGCTTGATCAAGAAGGATGTGTCCTTCCCAATTTTTTCTCTCTGATATTGTTAAGCCTTTTGGGACTCCTCCATCTTGTCTGGTTGTTTCCAAGACAGCATTTCGTCCCCTTGTTCCCCAAAATCATTCACATATTCTATTACAGAAGGCATATTTGAGATGAATGTTAGAAGAAATTACCTAAGTAAAAGCAGTTCAGGCAACCAACTAATAGAGGGAAGTTGGCCTTTAATGGATATAACATTGTTTGAAACTACTACTGTATGATTGCATGCAAATCTTTTAGTAGCAAATACATTGAATTACAGCACATGGTTCTGATGTCTCCCTTTAAATTAGTATATCTAAATAAAGATCGCACCCTTTAAGTTATACATTATTCAGTTCTGACCTTAAAGCTAATTAATGTTTTTAAAAACTCTTTTAAATCTAAAATGCATGTTATTTCTTTCCTCATAATAATTTTTCATCGATTTTTGAAGAAAAAATAGGAATAAACTAAGTTCTTAAAACTTACCCAAAGACGTTTCTCTCTTGCAGATACATAAAATGAAAATAGTCTCTTGCTGACCCAGTTGCTTAAACTTTTTATAATTTTATACATGGATTCTCAGATTATACACACACAAACAACTCTGCAAAGTCTTTAAAATTCTCTGCTTTCTTATGATATTCAGAAAAGCTGTCAAATCCAGTTAGCTTCATATGGTGGAGAGAGAAAAATTAGCTTGGGGGGGGGTCATTCCTCATTCCTCTATCCATTTCACTGCTCTAATTCAATATATTCCTTGGTTACAACAAAGAGCAAAAACTAACTCGGAGACAATCTATAGCACTTTTGCAACCTCTGTTGGCCTTGAGTGTTTTTTTTAAATCCAATCCAATCATTAAAAGATTCCATAATAATTACCAGTGTTTTCCATAAAGCCAGTTTCCTCCCCAGGTAACCAGGCAGATCCCAAGTGTAGTCTTCTTCCAATGATTTCTGAGGGCTTGAAACATTCTGATCACCTTGGCCATGTTTAGATTTTATTCTATAATGTAGTGTACAATTCCGATGTGAAAAAAGACCTCTGTGTGGAAAAAAAGAAAGATGAATATTCTTAAAACTAGATGATAGATTTGATGTTAGTTAATCAATGTATAACCATATAAGCTTTACAGCAGGTGGTATGCAGTGATCTGTGAATTCTGTTTGCAGGTATGACAAGTTTGAGAACAATTCTAACTATCTTTTCCAGGCCCTGTCTTGGTTTCAACAGTTCCACAATGACTTCCATTTCTTGGCAATTTTTTTTAACCATTGAAGTAGGTAGCAGGAATTTGTCCCTTGATTTGTAAGAATGAATGATCTTCATTTTCAATTGCTCAGACATGCTTACAGGACCCATGTTTGTTAAAAGTAGAAAGAACAATCACAACCTGAAATAACAGAAGAGTCAGAATGGACCTGTAGAAGTTTGTGGCAAACTGTAAGCCTAATCAGTCTATTAACTTTTTAGGCCTTATTCATAGCATCACTGGGGGAAAAAGTACTGCCGGAATGGTGTTGAAACTTGTACAAACTGCCACGCTCATTGTTTTATTTTAAATTTGTAAACTATAGTACCTACACACACTAACCAGAAAACATGCTTGCTTTCAGAAATTGTGGGTGCATTGGAGGTTTTTTAAAAAGATTGGACAGCCATTTGTCCGGGATGATATAATTTTAATTATTAGGCCATTGCAAATATTTCCTTTTAATCGGGTTTTAAATTGGTATTTATTGTAATATTGGTTTTATAAGGCTGTCAGCCGCCCTGAGTCCGGTAAGGAGAAGGGCGGGATACAAATCAAATAAATAAATAAATAAATAAATAAAATAAATAAGGACTCCTGCTCGAGCAGGGGGTTGGACTAGAAGACCTCCAACTGTTATTCTGTATGTTCAATATTTAAAACGACCACTGGCAAGTGACTTGCCATTGACTTCTTCCTAGGGCTGAGAGAGAATGACTGGCCCAAGGTCATCCAGATGGTCTTGTGCCTAAGGCACAAGTCTCCCAGTTCCTGGCTTGTGCCTTAACTGGTTTCAAGTCCTTTAATTCTGATTTGTACTATTTCAGATACTTCTCCATAGATTAAGCAGTTCCTTTTATTATCAGAATTAAAAATATATTTGCCAGCTCAGGTTAAGGGTATGTGTGCAGGGAGTAGCTGGTTCATCTGATACACTAAGATAAAATATGCTAGTTATTGTACAGTACAAATCCACCCAGGACAATTCGTTGCTGCTTGTGCGTCTAAGGTAAACCCAAGTCAGAGTTTGTTTAACAAGGATTAATTGGCCAGCCCCAGATGCTCATTTTCTACATCACTGCTTTCCAATATGCAAGCTTCAGCTGCACTGGGTCCACCACGCCGATCGGCATGGACATCATGATTCAATATTATGGAAACTGCACTTAGCCCACGAGGAGGTTCCGGGCGGAAACCTTCCCTGCGCTGACCAGGTGATCCACAGTCAATCGGTGCCGGCAAAGAACCCATTCGAATCTTTTGGTTGCAGGTGCGGCGATTACAAATAAAAGCCGGAAGATAGTGGAGACCGCCTTCGCGGGGCTCACCTGAGACAAGGAGCCTCGCAGTATCGCCTTCGGTCTTCCCGATACACGGCTAACCTCCACCTTCCTGCTTTTTAGGGGCGGGGCAAGCTGCTCTGCCCGCTTGCCGCGGAGCCAGGAAGGGTCTCTCTTTTTGCCTTCCCGCTGACGTCGCTGCCAGTTTCTGCTCAGCTTCTCTTTGCCCGCTTCCTGGTGCTGCGCTTAGCTTTGCTTGCCGGGGAACAATGGATAGCTTCGCCTTGGTTCCGCGGACAGGCCCAGGTCATCCTTGCCTGCAGGAAGGGCGCAAGGAAAGAGCAGAGCTGGATTGCTACTCCAGTCCTCGCCAGTTTTGTTGAGCACAATCCTTCTGGGAGATGCTGTGGCCTTTTCGGAAGGGAAGAAGAAGGTTAATAAGCTCCCCTCCCTCGCGCTCTTTCGTATTTATTTATTATCAGAGGTATACACTAACTTTCCCATTATCTACCTACCTGGGCAATTGCCTAATTCGTCATAACTACAATTGGTTTCTTTTACATTGATGGCTGTTATGCAGCGTTTTGATGACTAAAACATTTTAATCTTTTACCTAAAATGAGTAACTTATGTTCTAGGGCACAGACATAAAGGGGTGTGTGAGTTGTATATCCCACAGTTTCTTCAAGAAAATGGATGTTTCTTGAAGATGTGGTATGTAGTCAACCTAGCATTTTGATCAAATGTCACGTTTGGTCATTTATTCTACATAAAATGCTTATTCAAGATCTTCAAAACTTTTGGAGTATTTTATATAATATAATATAATAATGATAAAGTTGGAAGGGACCTCGGAGATCATCTAGTAGTCCAACCTCCTGCTCAGGCAGGAAACCCTATACTATTTCGGACAAATGGCTGTCCAGTTTCTTCTTAAAAACTTCCAGTGTTGGAGCATTCACCGCTTCTGGAGGCAGGTTGTTCCACTGGTTAATTGTTCTAACTGTCAGGAAGTTTCTCCTTAGTTCTAGATTGCTTCTCTCCTTGATTAGTTTCCACCTGTTGCTCCTTGTCCTGCCTTCAGGCTTAAAAACAAAAACTAGCACCAGGATATGATGGGATTCTATCCCACTATACTGTACAGTAGAAGATAGTCCCAAATATGCCATAAATTAGGCACATTCAAAGTTTTACAGAAGTAGAACTCTGTCTTAAGTTTCAGTTTGAAATGGCATTGCCCAACATAACATTTGAGATCAGATGGTTTGGTGCATACAACTTTCTTCTATTTAGTGACCTTTTGCAGATGATGCAAAAAGATATTCTAGACAGCTATGCATACAGTTTTCTTGGAACTTTTATTTTGTCCATTTTCTAACAGTTAAATTATATTGATTAAATTGTGTTGCCCAGATCATTCAAATCTGGTTTATAGAAAATTCCACAGGTAAAGCGCATTATATTTGGAAAATTTTCTTTGGATAAAATGCAACATAGTTCAAAAACATAACCGGCAATTAACCAACAGCTGTCTTTCCAAAATCGTAGTATATCTCAGTTATTTACAGTATATACTTGGGCTTATAGTCCATTCCCAGTTTAAAAATACTCTGAATAATTTTAACATTCTGCTACAGAATGTTAAAAGAAAACAATAGCCCATGAACAACTGTAATCATTGCAATCCTGATATCTGAGAATCTGGTATTATCATATGAAAATCCTCAACCAGGAAGGCCATCTACTCATAACAGCTATACCCAGGGCTTTTTTTTTCCCTCATAGAACGCCCAGAACGGAGTTCCGGCACCTTTTTTGGATGGAACCTTGTAGGGTAGGCAAGGCGGGTTGTATGACATGGGTGAGTTCCGGCACCTTTTTTTTTTTTTTTTTTTTTACAAAAAAAGCACTGGCTATACCTCAACATTCTTTCAAAGAGCCATAGTTTGAGGACTTTCTGAAAAATCAAAAGGGTGGGGACCAATTTAATTCTGGATAAAATTATGTTCCAAAGAAGGGGACGTCATGACTGAGAAAGTTTGTCTTGTAGTCCCTGAAAATGACAGTCCCTAAAAAGGGACAGACCTTCTTAGATATATTTAATTATTAAATTTTTATGCTGTCCATCTCACCTATGAGACAATTCTGGGCACCTTACATATTACAAAAAGAGAACTAGAAAAGCAATTGAATATTAAAACTGCAGATTAAAAATTTAAAACTATACAAATTGTTTAATTAAAAAACCCCTCCCTTTTAATGACCCTATAGTCCCTATTTGGGGTAGAGTTGGGGCAACTGCTTACAAATGGTTTAATAGCTGGGCAGAAAACTACTGGAAGAAGGCTGTCTCATAGATACCCAAATCCTAAATCATGAAGGGTTTCACCACCAGCATTTTGTATTTGAAATTACCAAATCTGTCAGGTATTTCTCTAGATGTGTTGTACCCATTCAAAAAAAGAGAAGAACAATTAATCTTTTGCAACTGGAACAATTGTTTTTATGCTGGAATCCCTCCTGGCAAAAACACTTTCCCCTTTCCTCCCACCCCAACCCCAACCATTATTTTTCTGATTCTGAACATTTGGTTATCTTAGAGGCTTACCTTACATATGCTTACGTATTTCGGATATGCTCCAAATGCCTCTTTTCTACTTCTTTGGCTCTTTTGTTTCAGACACCCAGTGGAAGTTTTTAGCAAAGCAGCATGGGACCAGACAAAAGAGAGAATTAATAAAATATCCCCTTTGGATTCTATGCTGCAGTTTTATTTAGAGGCCAAAAGGAATGACCCCGCATTTGCTGATCTTTTGAGAATCCATTTTGGAAGTTGCTGAGAATAACTGCATTATCCTTTGACGGAGGCATTTTAAATAAATGGGGAAATAGTTGTTAAAAAATCTCCTTTCTGCTTCTCTCAGAAATACCCAATATCCAGGTGTTTTCCCTTGTGCTTTCTTGCTTTTGATTTTATACATATTTAGCTTTCCCCCTTGTTGGCTGGGAAAATTTCTCCCAAATGAAAACCTTTGCCTAGTTTGTAAGCAAAATAAAGTAAATCCAGCAAGGAAGATGTAGCTGCTTACAGAAGACTGGTTGCATTAATTCAGCACTTGCTCTGGTCAAGTACTCTGGTCATTTATTTATTTATTGAAAATATTTATGTGGCTGTCTAACTCACAATGACTCCATGCAGCTTTCCACAATAAAATTTCACAGTGTAAGAACCCATAAACCACCCACCAACCCATAAATATCACTGTGTGTGATTATGAGTATCAAGCATGTTTTGTTTGTGCAGAATCACCTGAAACGACTGTGTGCTTGCCTAGGAATTGAATGTCACTACAAACATTATGCAGAAATGGTATTCTAGTAGATATAGATGGCACCCTTCGCCAATGAGTCTGCAGCTTCCAGGTATGTCTTGAAATGCTTTGCTGCTGCTCTATTAGCACAAGTTGAATTATGTGTAATTTTAAAAGGTTTCTTTATAGGTTTTTCCCAATCTGCTGGCCCCTCCAGTAGTTTAGAAGTTGTGACTGTAGGCTTCAGAATTCCCAGCCAGGGCTATTTTCTTTCAATCCAATTTGAAACAAAACACATACTCTCACAGCCACTGGCAGATGTAGAAACTCAAGAATCTTTTTATATATTCATCACAAACAGTGAAGCTTTTCCTGAGCAGCCCTACTTCGTGAATAAGTCCCCCTGACCTCAGAAAATGAATCTGATGTGGGAGAAACAGAAGTTCAGACCTGTATACCAAACCAAATAAATAAAGCATAAATACCAATGTCTGTATGTATGTGTGCATATTCTCATGAAAACAAATTGTTAGTCATAAAACATTAAAGGTGCAAAGAAATATAGATTTAGATATTAGAGAGATAATAAAAGTGATGGGAAAGCAAAGACATAGATATCCTTAGAAAAAAGCAACATATGAACAGGCCTGGCCTTAGACTCCTCTGTTTAACTTAAGCTATTACCAGATCCAGTCTGAATCTGGAGAGAGAAAAATTCCCTGGTAATGGACTCCAGCATTAGCCCAAAAGCTTGGAAGAATAAACCTTTAGTCCCGGTAACCAACTCAGATTAGATCCTGCAACATTATGCTGGTGCACGTATATATCTACCTTCATTCCCGAAGCTATTACCCTTGTTTCTATTCCCTTACCGTTCTGACCTCATTAACATGTAGATCCATTATCCAATCAAATGAATTGCTATTCTGATTAAATGCACACTGATTTGCATACATCTATATGCAAATATAGACATTGCATGTCCCTCCCCCTCTTGTAGTCTTGTCTTTCACCTCCAGTTCCATAATAAACCAGCTGGTAATAAATATATTCTGTTTGGCACAAGACTTTTTGAGGCATGGAAGAAATTCCTCCTCCTCCTCTTCTTCCTAATTTTAAGCCATTTTGAGTATTAGACTAAAAAATATTATAATGACACTCCAAAGCTAAAAATAGCTTTAAAAATTCCTGTTTGTTCGGAAGCTGACAGAAAAAAAACTCCTCTAAAATCAACAAGGGAAGAAATATCCAAAATAAAGATAGTAAAGCAGCACCTTTATTCTATCCGCAAAAGAATTATCATGTATAAAGATTAATTTGAAAAATGTGGATGTTTTCAAGTTTCCAATATTTCTTCCAATTAAGTGCAAGACAGAGTAAAAAGAGAAATGTGGTGGGTAGGGAAGCCGTACATGCACAATCTTGGCACCATTGATTTAAATTTGCTTAATCAGCTAAAGCTTTGGTTGATTAATCTGCCAATTAAGAAGGGTATAGTCAGTCTTGCTATTAAATGTAACAATTGGCTGCTTGGGTGAGGGATGAATTTCTTGAGTTCTTGAGAAAAACCACGGCCTTTAGATTTATGGTCCCCGTCCCCCCACCTGTGCCTAGGGAGGGAGAAGAAATGGACCACTAGATGGCACTCCCTATCAGACTGTTATGGAACTGAGGGCTATCTACACTGTCTTTCCAATTCTGCTCCTTCACTAACCTCTTGAAACATGGTAGGTTGCTGAAATATCATTGCTAGTCCGTTTGTTTATTATGAGGGGAGAGGGCTTCTTGTCCCCCTCCATTCCCTAAAA